CTGTTCATTGGGTTAATAGAATAATGATATTAGTTTTTTATGTTATTAATTTTTTGAAACACTAGTGGGATAATTTCACCACTTGGGATAAAATTAACCCACTCATATACAAAAATTTTATCCCAATAGTAAAATTTTACCCCATCCTTTATATTGGAACAATTTTGTTCCACTTTGAAGGCAATAGAGATAATTTTCAAACATTTTTGTATTACTTAATTAATACATGTTAATTATATTATAAAATATAAAATAATAATATATTCAATATATTATATTATATTATCATGTAATAAAATAAATTATTATTATAGTTTAATTTATATGTATAATTTATTTTATGATATTTATTATATATCATAATGCAATATCACATACTATATTATATAATAGTACAACGTATTTATTATAATATTATATAATATGTTAATAACATATATTATTATATAATATATTATATGAATTGTAGTTGATATTTTATTGTAGCAATTATATTATAGTGTATTATATTAAACCAATATAAAAATATAGTATAATATAATATAACATATTAAAATTAATAAATATGTTAGTATACTACATTTAATTATATAATATAATATAATATAAATCATGTTATGTGATTATATTATATGATATTGATATAATAAATTTATTATTGTACTATAATATAATACATTTTAGATTTTTTTTATATATCATAGTAATTATCATATAATATTATACTATATTTTAATATAATATAGTATTTAAAATAATTTAATTTGATTAAAAAAATATTATCTAAATATTTTATGCGATATATTTTAACTCTATGTACTTTATTCTAATATATTAATTAGATATTATATTAATTACATATAATTATATAATCCTATATTCAGTATATTATTATATATATGATGACTAACCTTATTATAATATAATATAATATAATCATATATTAATATTAATAAACATATTATGAATATAATATATATAATACCTATGCTTTGAAATAATATAACATATGTATACCTATAACTGATACCATTTATACTATATTATTGTCAACTATCATGTATACTATACTATATATAATTATATATATATATATATATATATATATATATATAATATTTTAAAAAATATTACATTGAATAAAGTAAAATATTATAATATTTTATACAATACATTATATCCTACGATACTATATTATAATATATTAAATTAAATAATATAGTATTAAAGTAGTATATTAAATATATTGTTCATATATTATATCAATTATTATATAATGTAGCATGCTAATATAATGTAATATAATATAATAATTAATAATATTAATTAGTAATTATAGTATAAAAAACTATATTTATGTATAAATAAAATAATATATTATATTAAATAATATTATATTAAATATATTGATCTTATATTATATTAACTATTACATTAGTAATTATAGTATAACAAACTATATTTATGTATAAATAAAATAATGTATTATATTAAATAATATTATATTAAATATATTGATCTTATATTATATTAATTATTATATATAGCATGCTAATATAATGTAATATAATAATTAATGATATTAATTAGTAATTATAGTATAACATATTATACTTTAATTTAAAGTAAAATAATGTTTATATTATAATAATATACTAAACCAATTAAATAAGTTAATTTAGAAATAATTAATAGATAAAATTATATTTTAATAAGGTGTCACATTATCAATTATCTCACATGAATTGTCAAATCAAAGGCTCAAATTGTCTCATTATCCCACTCATCCCACTTTACCATACTCAAAATAGCCCAAAGGGATAAAATTATTCAATTAGAATAATTTTCTCACTTGGCCCCAATTTATCTCAACAAATCAACCCCCCACCACAAAAAAAAAAAAAACTAATCACCTACCCATGTCGATGGTTGGATTACTTGAACACATCCACCCTTTTTAAAGAAGGGTTAATTGCAGATAGACCCCTTGTACTTCTGTTGCTGCGGAAACTGCCCTAGGATTCTCAACTCCGTTAGTTACACGTTAGCATCGGTCTTCATAAACTGAAAGCTTTGCGCGCTTCATACATTAATTGGATTCACAATAAACTTGGATAATTATCATTGACGGGTTTGAGAATCCTAAGGGTCTATCCGCAATAACAGAAGTACAGGGCGTCTATCCGCAATTTGGCGATAGCAGAAAGGGTCTATCCGCAATTAACGCCCCTTCTAAAAATTCCAACTCTCTGTCGTCTGTTGCTTTGGCCGGGGCCTAGCTTTCCCTTTTGAAAAAATTTACTCTGGGATCAAAAAGCTATCCGACAGCCGTAGGTGGGTGAAAGAATGCCTGCAGGGGTTGAAGGTCCACCCCTCCGCTGTAAGCTTTTGTGCGTGATGATGGTCATAAAAGCTAAAACTCATCTTTCTAAAAACAGTCGACGCAAAAATCCTGCAAGCATGAAAAAGGCACTGCCTGCTTTCTTAACGAGGAGCTATGGTTGCTGAAGAGAGGGTTTGGAAAAGCCTGCCAAAACTGACAAAAACTGTCAGTTTTGATAGGTTTTCTTGTAAAAACACCATTTTTGGGGGTGTTTTTGTAAGAAAGCCTACAAAAACTGACAGTTTTTGACAGGCTTTCTGCCCATGTCAACTCCTCTTTTCAGCAACCAAACGGGCCCTCACTATTTTGCTTCGGACGACACTGAGCTCCATGAATTCTTTAATGGCATAGATATTGGTGAAGTGAAGAAAGCATGTGGTTCTCTCATTTCCCAACATCAAGTCTTCAACATGAATAGCACATGCAAATGCTTTACTGCACAATGCAAGCTATTCATTGGTGTAATTTGGGGTAAATTGTTCCAATGGGGTAATTTTACCAAATGGGATAATTTGAGTGGGATAAAGTGGGGTAAAATGAGATAATGAGACAATTTGAGTGGGACAATTGGTATGACATATTTTTATAATATTATATTTATAGCTCAATTAAGTTCAAGTTTAACTTGATATAACATTAAATGATTAAATAAATAATAGTTATAATATACAATAATATTATTTTTTTAAGATTATTTTAATATAAAATATTAAAAATAATATAATAATATTAATATTAATCAATTTTTAAATATTTTGATATTTATTTTAACTATATAAGCTTATAACATAAAAGTTCTTCCAAATTTAGCATTCATGAGTGGCAACACGTTTTGAGTGATGGTATATTTCTTGAAGTTGCCATTATCCATCTTGTTGCCATTCTTCACCTCCTCCACTAAAAGTCTCAGTAGCTCTCTATTCTCTTGCTCTGACCATATTACATAGTCACACCTAGCTTTTTTGGCCCTCTCACCGTCTTGAGAGTCCTCTTCCATAGTTTGAGATTCCGAAGTAAAATTCATCCTACAACGCAAGAGGAATCACTTATAACAAACAACTTTAGCACTTATAACAACATTTATGTTCATGATAACAAACAACGTTCAGACTGTAACAATCATGCAAAACATCATGATAACAAACAAATATAACATCATGTTCATCCATTTATAGCCTATATAGCCTATATAGCCTATATTCAAAATATTTGAACTAAGAGGATTAAACTACGACGAGCCGATCCTGGTGCATGCTGGCTTGAGCCTGATGTCTGATCTTCCTAGTTTAAGATTTTAACTAGTATCAAAGGCCAATTTCTACTGAAGGAGAGAAATGGTTTAATTTCCAAACCTAAAAATGGCTTTGATAGTGTATTAATTAGTAAGGAGTGAATCTCATGATATGATCTGGGCTTCCTCACAATAAACTATAAGGTCCTGGTCTTTTGCTAACCAAATCAAGTCAAGAATCAAAAGGAAAATTTGTAAATTTTAGTAACTTGCATTTAGGTATATCCGTATAAGGTCCTGGCTCTTTCACTTGGAGCAAATTTTGTCTCCAGGATCAAGTTATGTTTGCACATTCAACTTTTACTTGGTGTTGTTTTCTTTTTCTTCTCTTTTCTATCTTTCGATTACACAAAACTTTTGGCCATATTGAATAGTTGCATGTGTACTTACATAGTGTACGCTGGTGCACATGCTGCTCTGCCTGATTTTTGTGGGATCAGAATGAGGATGAAATAGATCCCAGAGACAAAGGAACTTGATGGACGGTTGAGTTGATAACATATTCAGGATATATATTTACTTTTACATAAAAAAAAATCACTCTACTTGCTAAGAAAGAATCCTGATTGCCTATTAATTTGTCTGCTTCTAGCTCCTGGTGTATAGTAGTCACCTTGAGATCGCCGGAGAGGAAAACGAGAAACCCTTGAGATCGCCGGAGAGGAAAACGAGAAACCCTTGAGATCGCCGGAGAGGAAAACGAGAAACCCTTGAGATCGCCGGAGAGGAAAACGAGAAACCCTTGAGATCGCCGGAGAGGAAAACGAAGTCACCTTGAGATCGCCGGAGAGGAAAACGAGAAACCCTTGAGATCGCCGGAGAGGAAAACGAGAAAACCTAGCTAGGGTTCGACGATTAGGGGAAAACGAGAAAGGGCGACGGAGCTCGAGAACGGCGACGGAGCGGGCCCATGACCTCCAGAACGACGACGGAGCAAGGGAAAGGACCTCGAGAACGGCGACGGCCCTGCGGGAGTTCGAGCTCGAGAACGATTTTCGTGAGAAAATTTTCCCCCTCTTGTTCCAGGAAACGAAATGGGGTAATTTTGGGGGTGGGGGCTGAAAACTCTTTATATACTTGGGGTAATTTGGGGGGAAGTTGGGTATTTGTCCCACAATTACCCCAACAAACCAATAACACCACAAAGTTGGCTCCAGTTCCAATTACACCAATGAATAACACCAAAAAATGGTGTTCCAAAAATTATCCCATTATCCCAATAATTACACCAATGAATAACCCCCCTCAGGGAATATAATGGAGCAGAGAACACCTGGAGCTATGGTTTTCAGGCCCACCTCATATTTACAACAGTATGTTTCTGAGTGACATGAAACAAATTTGAACAAATAATACAGATTTACTTGTTATTGTTACATATAAAAGAACAGAGTCTTTCGAAAAGTAATCTCAATTTATACAAATAAAAGGGTTAATAGTGTATTACATCAAATGCACTTTTTTTCCTGTGTGGATACCAGTAAAATGTTTGAAACAAGATACTGGTGTTTTTGTGTAGCATAAGTATCATATGAATCATCCTAGGAGGCTATTTATTTCCTTCTGATCTAAGCTCCTGCTCAAGTTCATCAAACTCCCAGCCTCCAATCTCTTCGTTTGAATAGTCTCTTCCTGGTTCTCCAAATTCTAGTTCAAAGTTTGCCAGTTCTGATTCTGTATCAACCGGCCGATCTGTTGTTGATTTTGGGGAGTTTGCTGCCCTAGATTTAGGAGAAGCTGCTTGTGGAGCATGAGCTCGACTCTTCTCTATTTTCTTTTTGGGTGATATCATCTTATCTTCATGGGCCTCAGATCCCGATGAACTTCCCTGTGTCATTTTATCTTCAGCGACCGCGGCTCCTGATGAACTTTTCTGTAACTTATCAGATGGGACTGGCTTTTCTTCAGGAAATTCAATCTCCAGTGTCGGCCTCTCGATGGATTCAAATTCTACTCTCATTTTATCAATGGCGTCTAGTAGTTCTTTGACCTCAGGATCATCTCTCCTGATGAAAATTATCACAAATTACTTCTGATAGGAAAACAAAACATTTGTTCACAAGATAAAAACATGGCTATATGACATATTAACCAGGAGAAAAGCAAAAAACGACAATGAACATATTAGCAAAGTCGATACCTTTCTATATTCCCTTGCTGAAATAGCTTCTTCATGTAATCAACCACACTGAAAGCAGTAACTACCTGTAAACATTGTTTATGATATTATTAGGCAGATGACATAGTCATTAAATGTTACAATACTCCATTCTTCAAAACCATCTCATAATGAAATTGCCAATAACAAAGTCATTAGACATTACCAAACTATTCTTCAAAATCATCTTAATAATGAAGTTACGAGTTACTAAATATTGTAAGACTACATTCTTCAGAACCATCTTAACAATGCGGTGGCTTAGGTCTTAAGATCAGTCGGTTGTTTTTTTACTACAAATGTGTGAAACTCATTTGAAAGAAACGAATTAAATAGATCAGTTTCATTGCTTTGTTCGAGCACGATAAAGATTGTTAAAGCAAAATACAGGTACCATTATCCATAAAGTGGGAAATTATAAACCTTTGTTTCTACGCTCAAATATTCCTCCTCAAGAAGTTTCTTTGGGTTTGATTCCATTGATATCTCAATATCAGCATCTGAAATCAGCTCTGACCTACATATGATGAAGAAAAACAATTTACATTTTATCTATCATCATAATTTGAGATGAGATTCAAAGATAACACACCTCTCCTTGAATTGGTTTAAGTTTTCCACAAATGTTCTAATTCGACTAATGGAAGGTCCAAGCTCTTCCTAGAGAAGACAATGTTGAAGCCAATGAGAAACCACAGTGGTTCAATGATTATAAAAGTGGAAAGAGCATTGTTTATATAAATTCTATAGAGGTCAAAGGAAAAAATCATTACCTTCAATACCAAAAGGTGATACTTGACCAACTTCACAAAAGAGTTCCCACATTTCTCCAGGTCATCCCTTCAATACCGAAAAATAATTTCAGTGAGAATTGTAAACAAGCCAAAATCTGTAAAAGTCAAGTTCCTGGTAAAATCTTATATCTGAGACAGTAATCATGGCAGTTCAACGTGCTTCTATAGCAATTAGACAATTAGGTGTTGGAAATGGTAAAAGGTGCAGGTCTATAAACAGAAAGAGTACTTTGTCTGCTTCTCCTTCAGTTCTATGTACGAGGAGTGGAGTATCCAGGTATCTTCCAAGAAATTTATCCATGTATGAACAATTTCAGATTCGATCTTACATGAAGCAACAGATTTTGACAGTTCATCTTCCTGAAATTCAAACTTGATGTTAGAAAATTATTTGGCATAAGATCTATTTGAGAGAATTGCTAGTATTCTTGGAGAAGAAACAAGCAAGGATGATATCAAACCTTTGTCTTCAAATGCAAAACAATTTGATTGCTTGCTTCATCAAACTGGTCCCTCTCCTCCCTGGCCTTGTTCAAACGTGACGTAGCAGCAGATAAAGAAATATTGACCTACATTAACAATTAGCATAAAATCATATCACCAACCTGCAGACTATCAAATTTGATAAGCTAAATATAAGCCTGGATTTCAGAAAGTATATGCATGATGAAACTTCAGTGTTGACTTACGCAGAACAATTACAGACATAAAGCTAGTCAAACACTTCATTGCCCCTTTTACAAGAAGAGCTTTCTGGGGTCAGACCCTCTCAAACAGCCTGCGTGTATCCTCTTTGTTCATGAATCATTCGTATTGAATGGAAGTCTCATATCCCTTAGTGGAATATCCAGAAATGGAAAAGATGATTTCAACATGTTAGGTTGATAATGTGTTAAATGTCAATGCTGCACCCAAGCTAGTAAGATGGGCACATTCCATTAAAGGATTTTTATAGTTGTCGTAATAATCTTGCTAGTTGTGTAAGGTTGGTGAACCTAGCATTCTTTTATATTTGTTTCTGTTAGAATATAAAATATAACCCTCAATTCCTCACCACAACTTCAGAGTTTTGGTGTAATGGTTAGGGACTTTAACAAGGTATCAAACCAACCCAGGTTCAAATCCCACTGACCACGAATCTAATGCGGATTTTATAAAAATTGATACAGCTCTGTGCATACCGGTTTCAGCCCATAAAAAGAGCCCTCGACCTGTGGGCGCATGTTAGAATATAAAAATAATAACCCTCAAATCTCACCACAACTTCGGAGTTTTGATGTAACGGTTAGGCCCTTTAATAGTTTCATTAACATAAAAACATCAGTTTTGAGGTTGTAGCTAATAACATAAAGAAGAAAGAAATCGGGCATGTGCTCAAGACCGCAATAAACTTGTTATAAAAGTATGACACTAAGTTGCATGGAATCGGGTACGGGTACTGGTACGGGTGCGGGACACGGCAAAACTGTAAAATGTTGGGTACGAGGACACGACTACATATATATATATATATATTGAATTAATAATATACATGAGATAATTTTTTTCCGCTTCATGTATATCATTAGAATTAAAATTTCGATCATATTTTTGAGTTTATTTTATCATATTGATTATCGTGAATTGTAAACTACTCATTTTTTTACTAGACATCTAAACGACCCATTAACTATATAGTTTTGAACTTGGGTATGAACTGAAACGAACCCGACCCGTATCCCATTAGTTTCAAAAGACGGATGTGAAGTGTAAGCTTTACGTCCAGGAAGTCTTTGACAGGAAGTCTTTGACAAGTGTTTTAAATTAACACATATATAACCTAGAATTCTTTTATATTTGTTTCTGTTAGAATATAAAATATAACCCTCAATTCCTCACCACAACTTCAGAGTTTTGGTGTAATGGTTAGGGACTTTAACAAGGTATCAAACCAACCCAGATTTAAATCCCACTGACCACGAATCTAATGCGGAATTTATAAAAATTGATATAGCTCTGTGCATACCGGTTTCAGCCCATAAAAAGAGCCCTCGACCTGTGGGCACATGTTAGAATATAAAAATAATAACCCTCAAATCTCACCACAACTTCGGAGTTTTGATGTAACGGTTAGGCCCTTTAATAGTTTCATTAACATAAAAACATCAGTTTTGAGGGTGTAGCTAATAACATAAAGAAGAAAGAAATCGGGCATGTGCTCAAGACCGCAATAAACTTGTTACAAAAGTATGACACTAAGTTGCATGGAATCGGGCACGGGTACTGGTACGGGTGCGGGTACGGGACACGACAAAACTGTAAAATGTTGGGTACGAGGACACGACTACATATATATATATATATATTGAATTAATAATATACATGAGATAAATTTTTTCCGCTTCATGTATCATTAGAATTAAAAATTCGATCATATTTTTGAGTTTATTTTATCATATTGATTATCGTGAATGGTAAACTACTCATTTTTTTACTAGACGTCTAAACGACCCATTAACTATATAGTTTTGAACTTGGGTATGAACTGAAACGAACCCGACCCGTATCCCATTAGTTTTAAAAGACGGATGTTAAGTGTAAGCTTTACGTCCAGAAAGTCTTTGACAGGAAGTCTTTGACAAGTGTTTTAAATTAACACATATATCGTCTAATTGAGTACATGTTGTAATAAATGCATGCATATATTCAAGAAGTGTCCATGAAGTTTGGGTACGGGAAAGTGTTTGGTATGTGTCCGGTACGGGTACGGCTTCAATAATGAAGTACCCGGGTAACAATAGGATGACACTGAAAGAAAGTAGAAAAGTATGCAAAAAGAAGAACAACCTTCTTGAGTTCAGCTTCAAGTTGATCTCTTTCCTTCTCCAGTCCAGCAATCTCAGCAACTAACTCCTGCAAGATGATGAAAAACTTACCTTTTTATTTTAAAAATTAACCTCCAATTCTTGCTATTTGATAGACATCAGATCATGCAATACTTGCAAATAGGTACACCAAGTTCCCCCAAAATAAAAGCAAAAGATGACGTAGGTCATTTCCCTTTTTGAATCAGACTCTTCGCATTTCTACTCCTCAAACTTTGTTACTTGAAAGGAACTATCAAAAATTTGTGCTATTTGTCAATTTACCACAAAATTATATAGTGACACATTAATCTGTCTCTCCCTGTCACTGTTAGAGAATTAGAGTGTCATATTAGCTTTTTTTTTTGTTAAAAAATATTAAATTAGAACTAATCTACCTGTACTTTATTTAGTTAAATACAGTCCATAATATAGTTTCGCTCCCATGATTTCTTTTACCCATACTTTATTTACGTTAACCCAGTCACCCAATATTTGTTTTGTCGCTCCTTTGGATTCTACCTCACCCCTCTACTCAACAACCTGTACTTCATTTACTTAAACGCAGTCACATCATAATAGGCTCCCCAGAATATTAGGCCACCAATATCAGATATTTCTTAAGAAAATAATCAACCTTAGCTACTAATGATATACTATAGCACTAATGCTGGATATAGAAAAAGTGGCCCTAGGCATCCTGATGTACAAGTTAAAAAAAACCATCTTTTCACATTGTATGAAACCTAATTCACCATGTTTCTTTTAAACTCAATCTCTTAGAAGGAACAGCGAAAGCAAAAGAAAAAAAAAGAAAAGAAAAAGAAGAACTCCAAGGAAAAAAAGAACTCGACATTCAGGGTATTAACAACCATGATCATGAATATTCAAAGCAATACAATCTATCATCAGGACCATTATAACCCAGTATGTTTGGATTAAATTCTTTGCAAGCACCAGAAAACTTGGACAAGGAGAATATCCTCAACAAGTATAATACAATCTTTTGCAATATGTACCAATACAAAGTACTTAATATCTGCTTTTCCATTATGCACAATAAATAATAACTTAAATCTTGCTCAGACAGGATCTTAGGCAAGCATAAGCACTTTCACTTGTGTACATCAATGATCAGATGAATTAACTCAGAAATCAGGAAAGGAATAACAAAAAGATGCCCATGGTTCCTACCAACTTAAAATATTAAATCTAGTAACTTGTAATGTAACTAAACAAAATATCAAGCAGAACTAGCATGAATAAACATTGTAAATTAAATATTTACTGGACATAATTATATAGATGTCAGAGAGAAAAATTCTCTGTGATCATCATTTCACATTAGTCTAACAAAAATTCTGACTTATATGAGTAAAATACCTTCTCAACTTCACCAACTTCCTTTTCTTTGACAACACGAAAGTTGAGAGCTTCTTCCTTTTGATGCCTGTTCTTAGAAAAGATAGCGCAACAGTTCAGATATGTAACAATTGTTTGCTAAATTTTTAGCAGCTACTAAATAAATCTGATGATCAAACAGGTTCCCAGTAACATATATCTTTTATAATCAGAGATAATGAATGATGGTTTTTCTTGCCAAGAAAAAGGTAATGTAACAGAAAATCTCTCACATAATAGGTTGCAGACAGCACATATAATTAGCAATACAGTAACTTTTGTTAGTTATATAACCTGTGATCTTCAATACGCTTTTCTGCTTTTGCCGAAGAATTGGAAAGAGAGACTGCTAAAACTTTCAACTTCTCAACCTGCCATTCAGGCAAAGCGGATAATATTAATAAATAAAATACTGAAAATATGACAAAAAAATAAAAGAATCACTTATTTGCACTGCAAAAAGTTAATCATATCAAAATTGTAGATTAAACAAAGAAAAAAAATTATATGATGCCTAGACGATTCATGGTTCAAATTGCACAATGTTGGGCTATTGGGAAACAGCACGTCTGGGAATGACTGTAGTTAAAATAAGAATGCTAGAATTGATGAGTTGCGAGATGTTAAAAGATGAGACAAGAAATGATTGCATTCACAAGTTAGAAGTAGCTCAAAAAGGATACAACAATGGAGGATACGTTAGATGGTCTGAGGATATGCAATGCAGATTATAATGTAAGGTGAAGTGATGAAGCAAGAGGACTAGGAATAGACCTGATATGTCATGGATTGAGGCAGTTGTAAGAATCCGATAGCTCTGCTAATTTACTAGAGATATGGAAGCAGCTAGTTCTAACTAATATTGAGGAGTTCAATACTTTATGGGAAAATTATGTATACAGCCAACCTCAAGGATCTGGGTAGACTTCGCTGTTAAAGCTGTGTTTTCTGGGGCCAATCACAGAGAAAACTTCAAAAATGAGAAGGCCGGTTATCAATCTTACCAAACACAAACATGTGTCAAGATTTCTTGGGAATAAAAAGATCAAAAAGAGGCGTCCCTAGAAAACCGAGCAAGGTAGTGGATTAGTAGGAAGATTTACCTTATTGGTCATTCAGTTTCTTCTTATGCAATTATGAAATTATTTTCGAGCAGAAACTTTGCTGTAGCTTACAGTTTCGTAAATGGAAATTATAATAAAACAAAACTGCAAAAAGCAATGGC